TTTTTTTTTTATATAAATTTCTTCATTTTCTTTTCATTTCTCGTTGTCAATTTCAACTTTGTTGTAAATCGATCGTTTTTTTTTTTATATAAATTTCTTCATTTTCTTTTCATTTCTCGTTGTCAATTTCAACTTTGTTGTAAATCGATCGTTACCGTTATTTCATTGATCATATTACCCTTTATTAATAAAAACCATGGCCAAATCAAAATCCACAAATTCTAAAAAGGGAACTACAAAAAAAATAAAAAAAAGGTCGACAAATGCCTTTTTTCAATACAGAAATTCAAAAATTGTTCATGCGCAAAAACTTAAGATGAGAGACCTTTCCCGGATTACCTCAACAGGATGGAAAAGTCAAGATGATTTACAAAAACAACCATACTTTCAGGCTGCAGCTAAAGATGCTGTTGAAAAGGAAGCGGCTTCAGGTGGTAACGGCATTACAAAAAAATCTTACGAGCCATGTGGAAATTTCGCATTTATAAACGAAACTCCGATTGAAAAAGCTCCATTGCCTAAGGAAAAGAAGGAAAAGATTCCAATTGATCACAAAAGGGTTTTTATTAATAACAAACAATCGGATGTTTTTGTTAAACCTAAAATTGCTAAAGGAGAGAATCAAAGAGAAAGAAACGGGCTAGTTATTAGAAATTCACAGGTTCAACTGCAATCGGGTGTTGATAACCCAAACGTTATTAAAAAAGTTGCTATTGATCAAAATATTTCCATTCAGCATCCACAAAAAACCAAAAGTAGTGATGATGATACCATGATTGATATTGTTGAAGTTGTCGTTCCAACTACACAAAAAAATTATCTAGCAGGCGAGGATGACTATGCGTTTAATAGATATACAAATGCGGGTGATTTTCATTACATGCCTGAAACCAAGAGTAGTGATGATGATCCAACTACTCAAATAATTTATCCATCAGACGAGGAAGATGCGTTTCGTAAATATACAAATGCAGAAGATTATTATATGACTGAAACCAAGAGTAGTGATGACGACATCACGAATGATATTGTTGAGGGTGTCGTTTCAAATACTCAAAACATTGAGAAAAATAATTATGATATGCCTGGCACAGACTTTACACCAGCTATAATGATTGACGGCACAACTTTACCAAATCCTCAATCAAGCTTCCACGATAATTGTGGAGATGGACTAACTGAAACCCTTAACGACTGTTTTAACTTAGAGACATTGGAAAAGTGAAGAAGGGTTAACCAAAATTTCAATCAATTTTTTTTTATTTTTAAATATGTTAAGATCTAAGCTTGTATACTATATAAGAACTAAGAAAAAAAAAAATTATGTATTATATTTTATTAATTGTATTTGTATGTAATTTATTTGTTTGTTTGATTTATTGTAATTGTTGGTTTTAAATATATTTATGTACATTACATTATATATGATTTATATGGATTTTTTTTGTTATTAAAAAAAAATATTATTATTATGAATAAATATATAGTTGTGTCTGTTTTATTTTTTTGTTTTATTTCTTTCCACTTATAGACGAACTAACCCGTTTAAGATTCCATTGTTATAATTTTTCCACAGAACATTTCTTATTACTTAAAGGAAGAGAAATCAACTAGCTACGCCATCCAATAACAAGATTAATTTCCTTTTTTTTTTGTGAGGAATCGGGGATTTCTAGTGATAAAATTACGTATAACTGCATATTAAATGCTTTATTTACCCTAGGACTCGAGGCATATTTTAAGAGTAATCGCCAATGCATCGGTCATCCTTTTTTTGAAACGAATAAATTTTCAAGGATAAGTTACACGAGATCAAATAATTTCTTTTGAGGACTTGTACAATAAATTCTGAATAGTAGTATCAGTGGTGTAAATTTTGGAGTCGGCGTTAGACAATTTTCAGTCGAGGCTGAATCGTGACCCTCATTTGAAATTAGCGACTCAATATTTAACAAAATTTTTATAATTTAATTAATGTTGCAAAAAGTAGATAATTAGATAAGTTTTTAATCATAAATAAAGCTTTTAGAATCTCTTGCAACTAAAAATTTGAAACTATTATTTAATTAAGAATTTCACGAATATTCTGACATTATATCAAATTTGGAACAGCGACTCAGTCATGGCTCAGTCATTTGAAATTATGGAGTTAGGAATTTAAAGATAATTTTAATTTATATACTTTTAATTAAATTTTTTAATAATAAATTAATCTTTTTAATAATTATAATATATAAATTATTTTATTAATTTAAAATAAAAAAACTCTTTAAAAATAATAAATATACTTAATTTAGGACCTGGTCCTAAGTCTAAAATTTTAAAAATATTTTAAATTTTAAAAAGAAATTTAAACTTATTTTAACAAGTAACTTTAATTAAAAGATTGAATATAAAATAATATTTAAAAAAATTTAATCTTTAAAACTAATAATTTTTTTAAAATTAATCAGGACCAATTAGGACCAATTAGGACTTTTACCAACCGTCGACTCTACTTGATTTTTGCAGATTCGACTTGGTCACTCTGCGGGTAATACTAATTCCGAATATCACGCACTTTCTTTGCATTGTTCCTTGCTAAACAGATAAACTACAGCAAATTTTAATAAAAATATCTACATGTTTCAGATTCTATTTATAACTTGATATGGCTGCGTATCAAACCAAGACGTACGCTATATCATGATATGCAATCAAATTTTGGTCAACTCATATTCGTGGTGAGCTTATCTTGTAGAAAGTCATTGCATGATCGAAATTTTTTAACGTTTTCAGCACTAAAATTTAATAAATTTCACGCTCTAATAAGATATTAAAAATGTTAACTTGTATATATTAAAATTATAGATAAATCAGATTTTGCGTTGTTTGCTTTTTTTTAAAATAAACTGAAACGGGACGTAATAATGGTCGAACGAAATCAAGACCGAATCTATTTTTAGTAATGTGATTATTAATATGTATTAAATGTATTTTTATATAAATTTTGTATATAAATAAATCCGAGTATGTCATTTACTGTAATTCTTATAAGGTAACTGCTAAAATCACGATCGATAAAGATAAAAGTTTCTTTTATTTTTTTTCAGGATTATAAGATACATTCGTTAGATGATATCAAATGGAAACAGCACATTATTGGTCATGTGTTTATATTATAAAGGCCCGGTTCTGGGCCTTTGAAATGGGGGAACGGCCGAAAAAATTCAAAAATTTAATAATCCATGCATGCGTTTTAGCCAAAAACATTTTCTGCGATGTATAATAAACCATTATGATTTTCCGCTTTCTATACAAATAAGGCATTATTATAATAAAAGTTATTATAGCAAATAGTATAATATGAATGAGAATTTCAATTGTTTTACGGTAACTTTACGATAGGTAACCTTAGTACCTTGTAAATACATAAAATTTTAGTTTACCTCAACATTTCCGAAATTCCGATTCAAGATGAATTACTCATTATTAATAAATATGTTTCGAAACTTTATTTAGGTTAAAAAGATTCACTTTTAGTCATTGTGTTTCAACGTTCATCATTAAAAGACGCGTAAATGTTGGTGTCCTTGTAAAAAGACAATGAAATATTGTTCTACATTTTTTATTATATTAGATAAATTGGGATAAATTGATTTAAATATTTGCAACCTTGATTATTGTGTTTGGAAAGTTATGCCTAATTGAAGTTCAACTCGGATGCTTTTGGACCTTAAAAATTTCAATTACCGTTTGGCGTAAAAAAATGTTGATGTTTTTCTTGTCAATTTACTTTGTTATAAATGATAAGCATTCTAAATATGGATTAAGAGGAATGTTACACGTACTTTATGACAAATGCATGTACAAATAGCGATAGCCTCTATATTTAATACTTTATCTACTTTTCCCAAAACATTTCATTTTTATAATTTTCGCTTATGAAGAGCTGAATTCAAACCTAAATTTTGAACACATAATCTTCTTATTAATAAACTTTTAACATCCAAATTTGGTTTTTGACAATAGAACGCATCATGCATTATATTTTTATATTAAGCCTGACTGTGTTGTTATTAAATGCATGACAATGATTAAACGCAGCAGGATTAACTGAAATTATATGTAAAGCAGAAAATTAAAAAAATTTTATTGCCATTTCCTAAATTAGATTGAAAAGAGAGAAAAGAGAAGAATGAAGTATCGAACATCATATCGTATGAGTTTGGAGTATTAATTCCGTGCTTCTTCATTTTTTTTTTTAAAAGAAAAAGTCGTGGATACTTAAGTACCCGACTTTATTTTTTTTTTTCTTTATAAAATGCCTAAAATTCGATGCTAGCATTTATTGTTTCATTCATACACAGATTAGTTCAAAACACAATAAATTTCTTCTCACAAACATTCTTATACAATTAAACTTCTTATACAATTAAACATTCTTATACGATTAAACATTCTTATACGATTAAACATTCTTATACGATTAAACATTCTTATACGATTAAACATTCTTATACAATTAAACATTCTTATACGCTAAACATGAGTGACATTATGAATGAGAAAGACATGAATGACATGAACGACATGAATGATAACTTCATTCAAATAAATCCGCAAAAACGGACCCGCATCAGAGCCAACGGCTTCATTAAATTTAGAAGCGAAAATTGGAAGATTTATAAAAGGGCGTACCCTCATATTACGTCCAAAGAATTTTCCAGAATCGCCGGCAAACTATGGGGAAATTTATCTCAAGAAGATAAAAATTTTTATTTAAAAAAATCAGAAGAAAATAGGCAAAGTGTGATGAATGAATCGGAGGGCGAATCGGAAGGTTTCCAATTCGTTTATGAGAACAACAATATACCCGATTTTTATCATAACGATACCGATAATTATTGGGAGAATTACATCCCTCACTTTTACGATTATACCGCGTTTAATTATTATCCATTCATGAATCAAGAAGAGTTGTTTTACCTCTCACAAAACTTTTATTATACTCAATATGAAATTGAAGATTATAATTCGTGCTTTTTACCTACCGAATATTATTTCTTTGAAAATATCGACATCGCTGCCTATCAAAGTGGTGAAGTTTCGAATTCGAACGAAACCAATGATGAATCATTTGACAATCACTCAATGATGGAATATTAATTTCGATCGTTATAAATTTTACGTACACGGTACGTGAGAAATTAGTTATCTCATTATTCAACATCATTCCACCTTTTATAACGCCCCGTATGTAATTTAAGTTGAAAATTTCCATATTTTATTTAAAAAATTATTTATTAAGGCAAAATATGAATTATTGTTATATAATATTATTAAATTACAATATGCAAAATCTGAATTATTTTATTATTTAAAAATTTTCTTATCTTTGATTCTTCGCTATTACGTTTTTCTTTTTCGCATTTACATATAAAAATTACAAATTAACAAAAATTAGTACAAATTTCTTTATGTAATCAATAAGCACCTCCTAAGTTTATTTATAAAATGGTTAACCATTCAAAAAATTTCCAATTCAATCCCTTGTTTTTTTTTAACTGCAGTATTTACTTATTTTTTTATTTTTAATTCTCGTTATGCATTTATCGTATTTTCGAAAATTCGACTATTTAAATTTCGATTTATTATATATAATAAAAATACCATTTTAAATCTAAATCAAACTAATCTAAGCCAGAATAAATACTTTCCAATAAAGATAATGAAAAATAAATATATTGTATTGCAGAATTCTAATATTTGATTTTTGAAAATATCAAAAGGTAAAGCTACAAAAAATTAGTAACGAAGGATAAGATCAGGTTTTAATGATTTGTTTTTTTCTATTAATTTTTTTTATTAATGATGTGATGATACAGGTTGTATCTTATGAAATTGCAACAAAATGTCGTGCATCATAAAATTGTAGTCCGTGACGGTTACATGAATTTGCTGAGGATCAGACGATGCGTAATTAATAATAGATATGTAAATGTAACGGTAAAGTCCAAAATTCTATAAAATTGAAGATCCTTCCATTTATAATTTCACTTTCTGTGATATAATATTATCGATTAGTACATCAAAACCATTATTCCTTTTGCTTTTTTTGAATATGTAATGATTCATAGAGTAATGATGTGAGATTGCGACTATTTTATATTCTTTAATGTATAAAATAAGCTTTAAAGAAATATAAAGTGCATTCTTATGCGGATATGCGTTATGAAAGAAAAAACCATTACCAATTTAAAATATTAAACTTGGCATGATTAGGTTTGTAAAATCGTGTGAAATTCAACTAACCAAATGTATCAGGATCTTTTAACATGATGTAATGATACTTCAAGTGGCTAAGAAAAAGGAAAGTTTTGACAAGTTTGTAATGCAAATGTCAAGTTATTTGATTATTGAACTCTAAACAGTCAGTCAAATGGAGTAAATTATCCGAACCGCATTATTTATTATTATTATTGATTATTATTGTTATTATTTTATTAAACACACATTATTAAATATAAATAGAATAATATGATGATCACGATGAAGATATCAACATATTTATAAACTTTCCTAACCCAATCTACTTCATCCGACATCGTTCGTCGGTCGTACAGAAAATCTTTATTGTTAAGAGAAGTATTTTATGCGCATTCAATCAAAAAAAAAAATTTATGAACTACATTAAGGAAAAGGGATTAAATAATATGCATATGACAAAAACTGTCTCCGATGTCCGAAGGAAATTTTCTTTTCACAAATCTTTATAAAAATCACATGCGTTATCAACATGTGGAACATGAAAAAATGGAATGTTATAATATGATGTTGCATCGATAATGGTAAAATAAGTTGAACACTATATATACTTATTTACAAAAGTTGACGTCTTAGAGAAATAAATTCTTCCAGTACACCCGCCAGGTGACTCGTATAATTCATCATTTCGTGTCACATCCCATGTGGAAAAAATGTTTTTCACCCATTTTCACTGGACACGTGAGGTAGATTATGTCAGTTTATTTTGATAATTTATTTGTTCAGGTTTATCTAAAAATAAAAAAAAATAACAAGATATATATTAATTTAATTATTAATTATTTCTTTATTCCTTCATTTATAAATAGAAAATATAAGTAATTTTTTTAGAAAAAAATTTGATACAAAAGTAATTATAGAAGAGCTTTGTAATATGATAAATATATTTTGAAACCGGATTTTATTTATTATGATGAAATTGTTATTTTATTCTTCTACCATTTCATTGTTCGATTTCAAAGCATAAACCGGAGCTAAATTGGGCTACAAACACCTTTTAATCTTTGATATTTAACATATAATTTAAAAATATTTTTAAATATAATTTCAAAGTGAATTTCATTAATATAATTCCAATATTAAAGTGCATTCAATCGGTTTTGTCGCATAGCTTTATTTAGGACCAAAAGCTACATTTTAGTCATTTTCAACGATCAATATCAGAAAAAGAAGATTGAGAAACTCGACTTAAAGTATTAGTGACCTTGATACATGTTCTACACATATATATATTATGCCTTGTTTTGAAGTTTGAGATGATGTCTTTGTTTCCAAAAATTCGTTTCAAAATTATTGAAAATATCTCGAGAATTTTCTGCTTGGAAATATTTTAAATTATACTTACCATATGAAATCATTAAATAAAAAGAATTCCTTTGTTCTAAGGATTAACCAAATCTTGTTTGAAATTAAAGACAAAAAAAAGCCTTGTGTTGATTACATTCCGAAATGTAACTGAAGGGGGAGTAGTTAAACCCGTATTGATTATGTCATGTTACACAATTATAAATTTGCAATAATAGGCAATCAATATTTTTGATGTTAATTAACAAATTTAACTAATTCTTGTTCCTAATTATTTTTTTTTTTTTTTTTTTGAAAAAAAACAATTAACGGATTGAGCTGAATTCCAGTCTGGACTTCTCGGAATCCTCGTTAGTCATACACCCACTTCTTACACATTCTGTAGAGAATTCGTTTTTTTTTTTCATTGCAATTAGATTTATAAGTCAAAGTAGTGAACGAACATCATTTCATTATTTGCATTTCATTTTATTTATTTAAAGCCTTATATAATTGTTGTCCAATTGCAATAAATGCACTGCACGCAGCAAATTGAGAAAAGGATTAACGAATTTTTATTACGCTTTCTTAATACAGACATGCATATTTGTTTTTCCGAATTTTTTGAACTGGTACGACTAATTGCTTACCTAACCGAATTTTTTATATATAAATACCACGCTGATGTCTTCCCTCATAATATACAAATCAATTCGAATTAATAAATTAACAACTAGTACCAATTCCTTTCCAATCATCAACAAATTTATATAACGTAAAGAAAATATTTCAAGAAAATTTTTTATAATCTCGAATTTCCACAAGAAAAAATAACTGTTACCACCTTATAATAATTATAATAAACATGTTTATTCATGAAAATCCTCAATTTAAAAAAACGGTTGGCCCTAATGGATATATTAAATTTCGTTCAGATTCTTGGAAGGATCATAAAAAAGCTTTTCCAAAAGCAAAGTCTCATGAATTTTCAGCTATCGCAGCAGATAAATGGAGAGAATTATCAGATGCTGAAAAAAATAAATACATCATGTTATCTGAAGAGGAAAAGAGAAAAAAATGCAACTCGAAAAAAGTTAAACCAAAGAATAAAGTTAAACGCACCTACAGAAAAAAAAATGGAATTAAAAAAAAATCCAAATCCAAAAAGAGTTGCATAAAGAGCAAGAATGGTTCAAAAATTGACGATGTTGCACAACTGAACCAATTAACTTTCCAAAATCAGGAGGTATTAGGCGACATCAATATTGATCATATCAATAGCAATCAGAACGTTATGTTGCCGGATGTCCCAATTACCGACAATACATACTATCCAATTGGAATTTATAATACCAACGACTCATTTTCTCCATCAATTGGTTACCATTCACATGGTTGTGGTACCGACCAGTGTTCTCCTATTTTACCCGTAGCGACAACTGCTGGCATGTATTACGACTTTCTATCATTTCAAGAATCGCAAATCTTTAATAATACTTTTACGAATGTTTTTAATCCTAATGAAGGAGGTATTTTGATGAATACAATTGAGAACTGTAACAATCAAATTTATGATGACCAAATCATGTCTCCTGAAATGTTGTTAAAGGCTCATGAGATTTACCTATCTCTTACAGGCAATTCGAGATCATTCGAGAATTTCATCACGTATTTATTTCAATCATAAATTTAATTTAGATTATATAGATGATATATCAATTATGATTTTTTATGATTAAGTTACTTTAGGTTACATTTATTTAAGGTTCAAGATTTTTTTATGCTGTAAGATTATATGGAGCATTTGCAATAAAAAGGGGAGAACTGCCGGGAAAAATCAAATTTACTTTTATATGTCAAATATGATTTTCAGGCCCAAAGTTATGTTCAAATTCATCAACTCATTTTTATTTTTTCCGGCAAAGCGTTCCCATATGCTAAGATTATGTATGTATCATAAGATAAGCGCAGATTACTGCGGATAAACGCCATTTGTGACACCTCATTAAATTTGTATGACGATAATTAAAACATAAATAAATAAAGTTCGTTTTGAAGGTACATATACTACCTTCTTTTGAAATAATTAAGTATTGTAAGCCAAGCCGTATTCGTGTAATTAAATTCAAGGTTTACACTAGTTGTGATTGCAGTATCATGATAAGAGTAAAATTAATGCGGTGTAATGATACATTCAATAAAAACAAATCATGATTCGACAAAGCTTAGCTCATTATTCAAACCTTAAGTTTGATGAGATCTAAATGTTAAATGAATAAAATATCCGATTTGTGCTGGTACATTTTACCAAAGGTTTCTAAACATTAAACATTGTTTACTCAAATGGAATTTATGTACATTCATGTGAACCATAACCAATCGTTTAAAAGTCGAGCAAAGTTCTGTAAATTAGAATGGTTAGATTGTTTTCTGCGTGCATATGGTTGCTTTACAGTAGAAGGAAAAAAACTAGAACTCAAAATAAAATTTATTTCTAAATTTCTTTTCTTTCTATTGCAAAGCGCTCATATTACGTTTATATTCCGAAATATTTCAAATTTAAAGATTTATTTCGTGTGATCCATCCAAAAACAAATGAATTTAATTATTAAAATATAGAATATTTTACAATTAATATTCTAAATATTATCTACACATCTATTTACTTATATTAAGGCAAATTGGATTCGGGGTTGCAATTTTTATTGTTTATTGTGACGTAACTATTTTAATTATCAATTACTCAAAATCAATATACTAGTCTATTGCAATAATATTAACGTACTTATCAGATAAGATCCCGGTCCTTAGACAGCTCGCAAAAATTTATGGATAACCGAGATTACGACCTCCCGAAAACAAAGATTCTGTCCAGATATTTAGTGTTAGAATTATGTGACTCAATGTTTGTTCACGTGAATGGATTATGATAAATGAGTTTCATTTAAGATTATTAAGGTTTGATAATTTAAGATAATATTATTGTCCTTAAATAAAGTGAACTTATAAATAATAGTAACAAATTATTAATGGTGAATATTAATTTTTAGTAAGTGAAGAACCGCACACGAGAACACAAACATATATATGGTAATTGGCATTAGCAGACATCTCAGATAAATGGTAGCATTTATTCATATTTATTCATGATAAAGAGCCTATAGATCCTTACATTGGTCAGTTGAATTTAAATTCAAGAATAATGCTGACGCTTTCGATATACAGATCAGTCGAAATGAACAAAGTAACTTACGCCGTTTCATGAAAGTGACAATAATACATATTTAATACCAGAAAAGGTAATAGTTTCTTTATCTTATATGTTTAAACAGACGAAATCAAAATTTACTATAAGCGGTTAAATCCGCATTTATAAAATTAAAAGTCAGGCGTAAATCGGGCGGTAAACGATATTTATCAGTTATAGGTGGAAAATAAATTCCACTATATACAGTACATATTTCTTGAAAGAATTTATTTTTGTTTGCATATTTTTTTGCGCCTAATCTTACTTAATGTACAATTATTAAAGAAAATATTAAAAGAATGCATAACGCACATCATGTGCACATATGTACATTATATTATTACATTTTTAATTAAAACTTATGCTACTTATGCTGATCCCCCATTCTTTTTTTTTCGGAATTTCTTGCGTTTGAAGCCATATACATATTCATATTTATTATTTATTCATTTAATAAAGAAAGTAATGAGTTCCAGACTCATATTTCTTATTAAAAGAAGATTGATCTAATTTATTGGTGCTCGGTGGTAATGCGCCCTTAATAATGAAATCATCAATTTGATAATCAGTTCCCATAGTGAACTCGTTAAACTGAACATATTTCTCATCTTCTATTAAAGATTTTTTTACAGGGTCATGATCACCTGAATCATCATTTTGATCTTGTTGTGTGTCGATGAATTTTAAAGTTTCCCTAGGTTGAACTTTAGCAGGTTGTAATTTTGGCAATTTTGGAGGTCCCTTTATTCTCTTTTCACTTTTTTCACCATTCTTTATCATTGAACCAGGACTTTTGGTTCTTTTTTTGAGATTCGGCGTTTCGATGATAAAAGAATAATCGTCCCCAGGAATAAACGTTCTTTCTATGGGTAGTTCCATTCCGGCTTCGGATTCTTTTCTAATTTTAGCTGCTTCAGCACGATGATAGTACTTCCGTTTGCATTTTTCACCCAATTCATTCCATTTAGGACCTGTTATTCTAGAATGTTCTACCATTGTTCGTTCTTGAGTCGAATCGATCCTTTCATTTCGATAATGAAGGAAGGCGTTTGGAGTCTTAGTCATGATGATATATTAACGAAAATATATTTTTTGAATAATGTGTCCGAACACACAAAATTTTTTAAAAAAAAAGAAAAATTTCGACTCACCGTTATATATAACTTTCGGAGATACGGAACTTATCTATTTTTCATTCTAGAAATTCTAGAAAGTCTAAATTTAATCTGTTAAAAAGGAGAAAAGTAAGAAATCAATCAAACGTTCAATAAATTCCATAAAGAAACTTTAAGGAATTTTACTTTCGTTCTATTATGAATGAAGCAATATTCCCAAATAAGCTAAATATCATTGTCTTCAAAGGTAATGTATTGTATCTCCGTTTTTCTGTAACCTGTATAAAATGACAGGAACTTAACTTCCGATCATAATTTGATAATGATAATGATAATGATGTATATCATTATAACCGATGGCGTATTATTATGACTGATATTATTTTCTTTTGACATGTATATATATATATATTTATCTATTTTTTTTTTTTTTTTTTTTTTAAAAAAAAAAAATTAATTAAATTTTTTTTTTCTTACCAATCACATTTACATTGTTACCTTTTCCTTTTAGGTATTTAATAGGTAAATCGGTATAGCTCCGCAAAAAGAGTGTGAATTGCCAAAAACCATTCAAAAAAAAAAGTTAAAAACTTTATTTTTTTTTTGCATCAATGTTATGTTTCAGTTTTGTCGATCGAGACACGTAAATCCGTGATAAAGAAAACCATAGATTTCACTTTTTTCTAAACAAGGAACATTTTCTATGGATACGGAAAGGAAGTGTAAGGCTCAATGAAAGAAAAAATTTTGCTTGGTGCCTTTTTTTTGTACTATTTGACGTAATAAAGAATGTTTTGGAAGCATATGCATAATCACACACATTCACTATAAGTACGTTTGTTTAAATTAATAGTCGCAGTTTTATGTCATACATTAGAATAGTTCACTCGATAAATCAACGATTCAATCAGATTGTGCAGATTTGTTTATTACTTCTCCTAATGATCCATTGTATTAAGTTTGATTGAGATCAAAAAAAAACCCTAGTTATACAGTTTTCCAATTAGTAAAATATATATTTATCGTTATATAAATACACTCGAGAAATTTTCTTATTTTTTTTTTTTTTTTTAAAATAATTCATAGGAAAACTAATCATGAGTAAAGAATTCATATTTGTATCAGAAACACCTGAGCGTCGGGAAGCAAGATCAAAGAGAGAACCAAACATGTTCATAATGTTTCGAAAAAATATGATGAAACATAAACCACCTAACATGACCATGAGGCAATATAGTAAATTAGTATCTAAATGGTGGGAGAAACTTTCAATCGACAAAAAAGATGAATTGCGAAGGCAATATCAAATTCAAAGAGATCGGAAAAAAGAAAAAGGACGTAATGAACATCGTGTAAATTTCAACACAGTCCAAACGCAAGTGCCGGCAGATATAACTTACTTGTATTGTGAATGTGAAGAGTATGTCTATGCATCTATGAATACTTATAGTAATGATTATATGCTCTACCCACTTCCTTTGGACCAAATATTTGAACAAGCTAATTTTTCTCTCCCTTTTGACCAAGATCAATCCAATTTTTCTCTCCCTTTTTATCAAGAACAAGCTAATTTTTCTCTCCCTTTGGAAAATAATGAAAATAATGATATCTGTTATATATCGAGATCCTTTTAAAGTCGAATTTTTTCTTAAAATACCCGAATATCCCGAATCTTTTCTTTTTTCCTTTTAGTATCGTAGCATATGTACAGTATATATATACGTTATTTATTTTTTATTTTCAAATCGTAAATTTATCGAATATCGTACCTTGAAATTTTGGGGGAGGAGTCAAACGAAAATTTTATATATTTCTATGGCGTAATTTTTTGGGGGGAGATTTTGAATTTATGAATTAATAAGTTGATTAAGTTTAAGCTTTTATTTTAAGATATCATAAGCATAAGTTGCGTAAATAGATTTCATTCTTATTTTTATTAAGGTTATAAAATAAAAAAAATAAAAATAAAAGGAAAAAAATTTAATTTTTTTTTCGTTATGCGTACTACAATACAATTTTCTTTGTAAATGTCAAATGTTCCTCTAGATTTGTATTGAACTCGTGATGCATGTTCTTTTCTGCGTTTTGTTTTAAATCCATTCTTTTTTAACAACCCTTAAATTTTTTTAAAAAAAGAATTTTTGGTAAATATGACAAAATTCTATTTTGTGAACGTAAATATCTATAAGTAATTTTATTAAATCGTGCCGGACTCATTAGGCCTGGATAACGATAAGTTATGGTCGAAATTTAATTATAAATTTGGTATTCGGAGAGAGTAAATTAAGTGTAAAAAAAGGTATTTGGAGTTATTTCTTATTAAACCTAGCAAAATTTGTTCCATAATTATTCCTGAGATTGCAAATTCAAAAAAAATATATCACATATTTATATAAGCAACAATTAAAGCCAACCAAAAATGAGATTTTTTGATTCAAATTTATAATATATGAACTCTCTAACAACATATTAGCTTTTAATATGTAATTAGTACCATTTAACGCAGATTGTTCAATAAACTATTTTTATTCTTTTATGATTATAGGGTAATAAAATATTTTAATATTAAATATTTAATTATGCAAAAATATTAAGACACTTCATTAAACTATAATTATAAAAAGATAAAATATAATTCATTAGAATTTTCATGACAATTTATGTCAAAAGGTATTGATTATATATTTTTAGTATTAAATTTTAATTATATTATTAGTAAATAACTATTTAAAAACATGTATAAATATTTAATTAACTATTAATTCTAAAATTATAATTATATTACTATTTAATGTAACTTATCATGATAATTTTAATGAGATTTATTTATAATCACTAGTAAAGTATTAAACAAATTAGATCAATCTGAAATGTTTAGTTCAGTTTAATTCAGATTGTAAAAAAAAAAATTTGAATTAAATTGAAAATTTCAGATTAATCTATAGAATCTATAGTTTCAATAAATAATAAACTTTAAACTTTAAACATCTTTTATTAGGAAAAAACTAATAAAAGTCATATCTGAATTATTAAAAATAACTTTTATTAAAAAAAATCTAATATTTAAGATAAAACTATTTTTGTTTAATTTATTCTATAAAGTATTTACAAATTAAGGTTATAGATAGTTTTGGATATTGTTATCAGAAATAATTCTTTTCACACATATTCGACTAAGTTACTTTAGTTACTTTACTGTAATAAGTAAGTTTCATATTATCAGATTTTACAAAATTAGAGAATCTCACGTCTTACACATATGTAGAATTCCTTGGAATTATTTCACTTAACTTTATAAATTTAAAGGTTTAGAAACTTAGGAAAATTTTAGAGAATTTATTTATTTTAAGTAACAAACTCAAAAGCAAATTAGTGTAGTAGTTCACAATCAAATCTTAGATAAGAAACAAATAAAAGGAAAAAGTAATTATATTTTAAAGTTGATTCCTTTATTTATTACTTAAAACTTGCAAAAGAATTATAAACTTACAAGAAAATTTATTTACAACTTAAATAAAAAGTAATTCTATATATACAAAATTAATTTGCTACAGCTAATTAATTGCTATGCTATAAACTAACTAAATTTGTTACTATAAATGCTAATATATAAGATATAATAAATATATAAAATAAAATAAATATAAGTAAAATAATAATTATAATTAATATAATAAAAATAATAAAAATAATAAAAATAAGCAAAATTATGAATATCAAGCAGATCTATAGAATTAAAAAAATCAAAAGTTTTATTATTGATCATTTGACATAATATTTGATAAACTTATATCATCATTCTACAGATCACTGATAATTGGTATATTATAATTGATTTCAAATGTTGACAATATATAAGGTAAAACTAAAAGATTATCAGATGAAAGTTTCAAATTTAAGAAAATAATTTCATAAAAATACTAAAAAAATCTAATAATATATAATTTAAACGGTTAGATATAGCTTTATTAAATAAATATTAATAAAGTTACTTCTGATAAGATATGACTTTTATTAGAAAAAATACTAATAAAAGTTATATCTAAACTATTATAGATAATTTTTATTAGAAAAAATACTTATAATTTATATCTATTTATTATAAGTAATTTTATTAAATTTTAATAATTCAAAATTTTCAAATTAATCTGAAAAATTTTAGTTCAGATTAAATTAATCAAGATTTTAAATTAAAAATTAGAAATGATTCAAAAATCCTTAACTGATCAATAACTGGTTAAATTTAACTCAGGCTGGCATTATAATTTTAGGTAAAATTAGTAAAGTTTTATAATTTTTGTAATCACAAAAAGATCTTTAATTCTACCTGAAATTAAATTTTGATCAAAATTAATATAAAAAAAATCTTTAATTGATTAATAAGATAAATGTCTTGATTCTAAATTCTATTTTAAATTAATTTAATTCAGAATGATATTTTTTATATTTGTAATCTGAACTGAATTAAATTAAAATCTCAAATTGAATCAGACTAATTTATTCAAAAATTTAATTACTTATTATTGAATTATTGCAAATTAATTTATTTAAATAAAATATTTTTAGTAGTTAAGTTTTAGATCTTATAAACTTTTATTTTTAAAAAACTTATTATAAAATAATCAGATTATAATATTTAAATATTTAAACAAATTTATTAAAGTATTAACATAATTATAATTATAAATAAAATTAAAATTAAAATCTAAAATAATAAAAAAATTTATATTGTTAATGTATTATCCTTGTAAACTACAACTATTAAACAATATGTTTAAGTATTGATTCTTCAATTGGTATTTTATTAAATTCATTAAGATAATTATAATAAAAGATATATTTTAAGTAAAAATATATTTATTAAGCAAAGAAAAATAGAAGAAAATAGAAAAAGTGATGAGAATATTAATACTGAACTAAAGGAAATATAATTTTCTGTTATTTCAATATTTATAATCTATTTTATTTATATAAAATTAAATATATAAAAAAATAAAACTAATATGTTATACAGGTCTAATAAATTAGCTATATAATATGTTTATTATATCAAATATCTCAATTAAAGATAGTGCAGCAATTGATTTCAAATTTACAAATTGTTGCAACATAAGTTAAAATTAGTTGCAAGATATATAGGTTAAAACTAATTGCAACATAATTTGCAACATTAAAAGTTGCAACATATTAATTACAGTTCCCATCTTTAATCTCAGTTATATTAAATAAATATATCAAATATATTAAATATGTTTAACATTTCTAATGTTACATATGTAAATCATTTTACAGATTATCCAATAGATCAATTTTGTAAATTGTTTTTATAGATCTTTTAGCAGATTAATTTTGTAAAACATGTTAATTATTTACTATATCACTTTTTCTTATCTTATAATAATCCTGTTATAATGTAAATCTTTTTACTTATTATCTGATTTATAAATATAAATATTTTCTTCTTTCATTTATATTAATATTACTTTTAAATTTTTTAACTATTTATGCATATTAAAATTATTATTAAGTAATAATTTATGGTAAATTTTATTTCTATTAGATTTTTTTTAAACAATAAACTTTATCTAAATCTTATGATAAATTACTAAAATGAAAATAATAATCTTTTAAATATAAACAAATTACAAAAATTTTTAAAAAAAAAACATTCAATTTTATCATTACATTTAAATTCGATATTTACTTTTTGAAAATTTATTTATAATTTGTTCAATATGTGGTTTTTGCAATAGAAAAGAAGAAACTACTAGAAAAAATTAATTATATATTTAGATGTTAAATATGATTTTTAGACTAAAATATGTTTAAATTAGCATTAAATAATTTTTTATTTTTCTAACAATTTTCCTCTTTTATATTATAAAGATTTTATATTATCTAAAATATTAATATTATGATTTCTAAATAATTTTTTGAATTTTTAGTAATATTTTTAATAAATCTAATATATATAACTTGAATCATAAAATAATAATAAATATTTTTATTATATACAGTTCTGGCAGAAAAAACTGACAATTTTTTTTAGATTTCGGAGCCGATTACATTATTTTTCCTATACAAAAATAGAATATATGATGTAAACAACTTGTTTATGTCATATTTTAATAAATTACTGCAGCCTGGAGGTCACGCGCATCACACAATGGTTGTACTTAAGGAACGCCGTAGCTGCATTAAGACTTTATGGAAAAGTGGAGTTCGTAAAGTTAGAGAACTTCATAATGCAACTGGTTTTCCGTTGAAAACCTTATACAGATAGACTAAACAACTTAAAGAAACAAACGACTTAAAGCAAAGAAGTCGTCCAGGTTGCCCAAAGCGTCTTACCCCTATTCAACGTCATTATTTTGGTCAAATTGCAAAATCGCAAAAATGTTCGTCAAGTATTGAGTTAACCGAAAATATTAAAAAAAATACCCCGACCTTGATATTGCATCCCAAACAGTTAGAGAAAACCTTCAAGTTCTTGGGTATAAAGTTTGTATTTCACATTCGGTTCCTTTTCTTACTCCAGAGGCTATGAATCGTCGTGTTGCTTGGGCAAAGGCACACCAAAGAGAATGTTGGAATAATGTTGTATTTTCTGATGAATCTTCATTTCAAATGTTTCATAACACAACCCTAGTTCATTATAAAAGTGGAGAACCAAAGCCAAGGCATGTAGTAGTGAAACATTCTTTTAAAGTGCATGTGTGAGGAGCATTTTGTGCAAAGGGAATCGTCAGCTTTCACATGTTCACTGAAAACATGAATGGAGAGCTTTACTGGAAGATTATAACTGAAAATTTGTTTGAACAAGCATCCCAAGTCCTTGGTAATAGGTGGACATACCAACAGGATAACGATCCAAAGCATTGAGCTAAGCTTACGATTGCTCTTCTTTATGAACATTATCCACGTGTTCTTGACTGGCCTTCTTCCTCTCCAGATCTAAATCTGATCGAAAACTTATAGGCAATAATGAAAAGAAATGTGGAAAAGAAGATTAATATTATAATTATTGAAAAAAAATCAGTTACACAGAAGGTTTTTATGGAGACAATAAAGGAGGAGTGGAAGGCAATCGATAAAAATTTGTGTATTAATCTTGTAAGATCGATGCCGAGACGTTTAGAATCGGTGATAGAGAATCAAGGACGCATAATAGGCTTTTAAAATTTTAATATGTTTTTAATGTATATTTGAGGAATTTAATTTTAAAATTTTAAAATTTTTTAATAAAACCTGGGCGAGATAATCGCTAATTTCTAATTGTCAGTTTTTTTCGCCAGAACTGTATATCACAATTAATGTTGCTATTTAAAACTAGTTTGGATTTAACAAAACTAGTTTAATTAATAGCTAATACTACTAAAAATAGTTAAGTTTAATTGAAACTAATTTTTATTAGCTTAGAATAATAACTTTATCATAATTATTACAGGTTATTTATAATTTTTTATTTTAGAATCATTTTTAATCATTTTATAAACTATTTTTAATATTTTATTTGCATCTTTTCTTTACTTTTAGAATTTATTTTCAGTAATTACTAAATTAATTTATTGATTTTATAATCATTTTTACAAATTTCAAATAATTTTACTATATAAGCATTTTTAAAATAAATAAATCAATCCTATTTGTTGAGATGAATATAACATTAAAATATTTTGAATTTAATTATAACAAATATATAATACTAATATATTTATTTTACTATTTTTAATATTATTATTATAAAATTATTTTTAATAATTAGCAGCTATTTATATATTATTTTTAGAAATTTATATTTGTTTTTAAAATTTCAAAATTTTATAAAAATCAGATTCTAATAAAATTTAAAATTTAGTATAGTTAGATATCAAAGTTACCTAAATAAAATTATTTTTTATCTTAATTTTTTTTAATATAAAAGTGATTTTTATATTTATTATAAATTGAAGTAAAGTTAAAAATATATACTTTCTTTTATTTATGTACTAATGTAATATATTAAGAAGTTTATGAAAATATTAAGTTAATTATATGATTTTTTACCAAAAAGAATGTATGTTTTAGTTGATTTAGTAAAAATGATTATAACTAAGCCAATAAGTTTTAAAGTGATAATAAATAAATAAAATTCTCAGAATTATTGATATCTTATTGATAATAGTAAATTATGAATATTTATATATTGTATTAAATAATATTTTATGTGAGTTATAAGTTTTAAATCAAGAAATTTTAAAATTTTTTTCTTTTTAAATATCCAGTATTTTCATAAATATGACTACCTAAACCATTTTCTTAAAGATGAAGTTGAATAACTAAAAGTATATAATTACTTATTTTACATAATTGCATATATGAAGGTAATGTTATTATCTGAAACTAAAATTCTATAGTTTAGAATAACTAAAACAAATGTAGTTAAATATCAAATCTAGTTAGTTTAATAGCTGAAATTACCAAAACTAGTTTTGTTTAACTGAAATTAATTTTTAGTAATTTAAAATAGCATTCTTATATGTAGGTTTACATAGTGGTAAAAATATATTGTAAATATATTTATAATAATACAAAGTGGTTTTCTTTCACTATTCTTTTTTATTTAAAATTTCCAAGACATTAATTATGATTTAAAATCGATTCTAATTCAGTTTTTTCTAATGCTTTTAACTTAAAATGTCTTTCAAAAAAATAGTTAAATTCACTTTTTTAAAATAAGTTCTTAAATCTTTTTATTTAATATATACAATTTTTATTTTATTCAAAAATATCATTAATTCATGTATTATATTTAAAACCAGTTTATTTTCTTCATATTCTTTTAAATTTACTTCAACTAAATTATATGAGTGGTAAGCTATTAAAATTGAGGTATGACATAGTAAATTATATGATCTGTACCTCAATTTTAATAGCATACCACCCATATACAGACCTAATTGAATCAGTAGACATTTGAGAATCATTTGAAGAAATTGTAAGTTCAGAAGATAATATGGGGCCTTTGCAATAGAAAGTGAGGAAACTGCCGGGAAAAATTAATTTTACTTTATATGCCAAATATGATTTTTATGCTGAAATATGTTTAAATTTAGCATTAACTCATTTTTGATTTTTCCGGCTGTTTCCTCCCTTTCTATTGCAAAGGCCCCATATGTTTAAAAAAAAAACAGAATTAAATATTTGATTTTAAAAATATTAATTTAAGAAATATTAAGAAAATTTATTTTATAGTATATTAAAACTTTTGTTTTTTTAAAGAAATTATTTATTGAAAAATTAATTTAGATATATTTTTAATAGAAAATAATTTCAAGTATTACAAAATATTAGCAAAATTACAAGTGTTACGAAAACTGTGTAACGTAATTAATGTAACGATGACTCCTTGATAGCAAAAATTCTCGTGTTTACGAAATTTTTATCTAAATTATCTCAAAGATTTAAAATTCCAACAAAATTTGATTGGATAGAAATGTTTACTGTGGATTAACAATTTTTTTCATCATTTAAATTTCTTATTCGCATCACTTATTTATTTCCCGCCAGATAAATCATAACGATAAGGAAAAGCTAAATGAATATAGAAAATGAAAGTAATGAAAAATTATTAATAACATAAATGATGAATAAATGAATGAATGAATAAATTTTAAAATGCAGAATGTATTAATAAGTAAACTTATAAATGTAAAAAAATGATTTTTAATTTTTGTATACGAAAGAATAATAAATAATTATGTTTAAAATATGCCATGCAAACTTGTATAATTTGTTTACTAGGTGTTCAATCGGATAATGTTCTTAAAGGTTCACCGATAACAAAATTATCTTTGAAGACATCCTTCATTATATTGTAATAGTTTTATTGCCTGAGCCCATCAGTATCTGATTGTTGTATCAACTGAACAATACTCATCTTATTACTATCTTTTGAAACATCAATCGGAACTTTCTTATTGTCAACCAATGAATTCTTTAAAGGTACTTGCGTGCGCGAGATAACATTTTTGTTAATATCCCTTTGCTCATCAACATCCGAGTGTTCTTGAACCTGGATGGATTGCTCGTTGCAGGTAATCAACCTTACGTTTGATTCCTTTTTAGCCAAAGGAGGAATTCTTTCTTTTTTGATCGGAGTTTCGTTTATAAATGCGAAATTACCACATGGCTCGAAAGATTTATTTGTAAAACCGTTACCACCTGAAGCTGCTTCTTTCTCGACGGCATCTTTTGCTGCAGCTTGAAAAAATTGTACTTTTTGTGAATCATCTTGACTTTTCCACCCTGATGCGGTAATCCGTGAATGATCCCTCATCCTACGCTTTTGCTCATGAACAATTTTTGAATTTCTGTATTGAAAAAAGGCATTTGTTGACCTTTTCTTAAGTTTGGTCATGGTTATATAAAAAGTCGTTTATCAGAAATAACTTCCTTTTTAATTTTATTTAAAAGAAGTGCACAACTTTAAAAAAAAAAACAAGATTTATGTTTTGTTACACGAGATTATACAAATGGGGTTAATTTTTTTTTAGTGAAATAACCCTTCATCGTTTTCTGATTAGAATAATCTCGATGAATTTTACTATTAAGTTTATGTGCGGCGATAACCATATCACTAAGCTAAGGATATTCCGATGATTTGAACCATATCTGGTCCGGTATTACTGAGATAATCTTTGATCACTCCGTTATTCCTTCATTAAACCTTCCGTATCCAGAAATTTATATGCTCAATATTTAAAAAATGAGTCGGAATTGGAAATAAGATCATGTGATGTAGGACAGTCTATAAGTTGCTTATCTAAAATTTCCTAACCTAAATTGTATTGATGATCTTTAAATGTAATCAATGACTAATAAAAAATTTAAATTAGATAAAAACAATCCATGTTTTAAATTGTTTTAAAAAATTGTTTTAAATGTTTAAGAATTCTCCCCTCTCCCGTTTTCATTATTAATAAGCGCCCATAAATTTAAAGGCGAACAATGAGGAGAACAAAGGGCGATGACAATGAAATGACCTCTATTATAATTTTTGCACTTCCTTAATATAAATTTTTTGTGTTCAAAACAATAATTTGTACATTTTGCATAAATCAGCCAAGTTATGTAATTTCTTGGCCATGGAGGAAAATTCCGAAAGTTGATCGTTGGTAATGTGATATAATTGGTTTAGTAAGATGGATGATCGAAAATATTACCTATCACGTGTCAAATGTGACGATTTTCCCTCGATAACAATTAATTTCAGCGATATTTTCTTTATAGGAAATGGTTAGAATACATTTCTATCACGATAGTACTCATCCTTAAAAAACCTGCATGACCTGCACAAATTATATGAAATTTCTGTATCGTTAATATTACGATCGATTCATCCACTAGGATTTCCAAAATTATAAATTATTTCACAATGACACTTATGAAAAGAAAAAGATTCTCCGATCTACCGATAGGCAGTATTCTTCAAATTGATTGTAGGATTTCATCATTTAACTTTGGAATCGGATCGAGCGAAATCTTCCCATGTCCACTTGAAATAAGTTCACGTATTTCGCAATCTTCGTTACCAGCATTCACGTATTTCCAAAAAAAAAAAAAAGAAATGATGTCGAGGATGTCGTCATTGATTTATAAGTTTTCAAAAATCACTGATGCAATTGCATTGATAATGATTTTTATTTAATTTTTTTGTTAAATAAAATCACTCGTGTGAATGAAGTGCCGTGATCTACATTTGACGTCTCATATAAACTTTCACATGCGAGGAAAAATAAATGTCGGTCCCCAATCATTCTTAATTTTGTTGCATTCAATGTTACGAGAGACGAATGGTTTGCTTTGCGTGACATAAAAAAAGGGAGGGGAAATGATGAATTGCATATCGTGAGATACAATTGCAAGCAATAGTCGTTACGATTCACCAAAATCTCCAAGATAAAAAATTTGATTTTCCGTACAACCTTAACGTTAACGTGAGATTCACGTGAATGTACAAGTTTCTTATAATGCCAACAGATTTTTAAAAACATTAACTTAATAGAATATGCAAGTTCGGATAATTTACTTCATCTGATTGAGATTTCGCAACCACAAAATTGTTTTGATCATATTACACATCACATGGACAGTAGTAAAGTAGTAAAAACACGATAATCATACTGTGCAAAACCGCCACATTTCAGTAATTTTCTTTTATTGAAATAAATATTTAATACATAATAAAATAAAAAATAAAGCTTACGAGAGAGAGAGAGAGACAAAGTGTAAGACTATCAAAAAAGAACCCACCATAGATGTTCATAAATAATACCCATATAAAATGTATAAAAAGTAAAAAATAAAAATAAAAAGAATACCGGTAAAAAATCACCTACGAAATTTAAGAGTTAAAAGTGATATGGATTATTAAGAAATGTAGGAGCAATATCTCCAAAAAAGATATCTTTGGTGAAATCATCAGTTGTAAAAAAATATATGGGATATTGTAAATCGTTTGCGATATCGTTGTACAGATTGATTCCAACGGGAAAATAAAAATCATCGTTAAAGAGAAATGGATAATATTCGTAATTTTCTTCCAAAGGAATTTCGGTAGGTTGAAAAGTTACATCCGGTGTAGTAACATTAACGTTGTTGACAGTGTTGAAAGAATTAATAATGTTCGATAATGTTGGATTTTCCAGAATTTCAGTTTGTCGTTTTCTTTTGTTTTGTTGTTTTTGAATTTGAATTTTTTTGCCGTCACTTTGTTTCTCTTTTTTCGTCTTTTTTTTTCGACCTAGAGGAATTTCGTTATGGAGCTCATCATTAGCTGATGGCTGACCTTGATACGGAATAATCTCCAAGTCTTGATGCAATTTCCTTTTTTTTTGTCTTTCCTGAGATTGTACGGTATAAGCATTTTTAATATCGTTACTTAATTGGTTCCATACTTGCGCAGCTAGATAACTGAAATCTTGTTGTGAAATTTTTTCTTTTGAAAAAATTTCTATATAATCCCTCCAGAATTCATTTCTGAAGGTTAGAAATGAATTTCCTCCAATTTCTACATTTGCTTGGTCTTTTGGATTTTCATAAATAAAGCATAATTTACTATTATTGGCCATGATCGTAACGGAATATACTAAAGAGTGTAAATATTTATTTTTGGTTAAAAGAATTTTTACTCTTAATTAAGAGTGAAGAAAAAAAAAGGAAAGCATGGAGGTATCAAACCAGATGTATTTATAAGCGATTCCTTCTTCTAAAAAATGGGGTCCTTTGAAACTTCAGATGCAACAATAAAAGACCGCCATTAACATAATCAATCTTGTAACAAGTTTTTTGCAGAGCAATACAAAAAAAAAATAAGGAATCTAAAAATAAACATGTGAATAATTTTGTAAGTTTAATTGTCTTTTTTTTTTATCCTTTTTTAAAAAAGAAAAGATAAAGTAGAACACAATTCATTGCTTTGTCATAAACAATAGCATACATATAATTAATCACTAATTTATCGCACTTAAGAGTCCGTTAAAAATAAAAAAAATGAGACAAATGAATTAACCTGATGTATGCATAACAATAACAATATAATTGTTATCTATATTTTTATTCTAATTTTACCAACAAAAAAAATAAAAAAAAAACCTTGTTTTATAAAACCAATTGTACGGTATTGAATTCTCAGTTTTAAAATAACTTGCAAATATGTAAGTGAGTGCGGGTATGCGTGCACTCTAGTGTATTTTCTTATTTTCTTAGTATAAACGTTCTTTGTGTGGACATAGATCTATGTATGCGAGCGACCGGAGTTTTCAAGGGAAAACCGCATAGAGTGCGGTTAATTCGCGTGAAAACTTATTTAGAATGAAAAAAGGAATTACCAAATTGGTCTTGATTGTTTGATTAAGTACAAATACAGTAATATTGACAAACTTCAATCAGCTGGCTGCCTGCCCGCTTGCCATATTTAATACGTTTCACTTGTCCTCATTAAAACCAAAACTAATTTATTTGTAATAATTACACAATAAAATTCATGAAATTTAAATTTGACCATGACTCAAAAAATTTTAATTTCAAATAGTTTGAGAATCGTAAAAAAAAAAAATATTGAATGTCCAATAAATATTGGTATATTACGTTTAGATTTTGATGAGCCAATAAATTGGACAATATCACTCTATTTCCGTAAAAAGGATGATCACATGTCTATAAAAGGTTTAATTTTCAACGGAAATTGATATTCCAAGAAAATTCGAAAAAAAAATATTTTTATTTTTTTTTTTTAAACAAGTTTTTAACTAGCTTTGTAAAACAAAGCAATTTGGCAAGAATTAAATCATAAAAGAAAATTTTTTTTCCATTTTGCGCCTTATGATAACAAACTAAAAAAAAACGGTTCCATTTAAAAATTGCAGGTTTCGCTCTAGTCTCAATCTTTTTTTGTAACAAAAAATCAACTTGAAAATAAGGAAAACAATCTCCTAAAAGCATTCGAAATTATCACACAATACAGGATAAAGCTCATTATGGTTAGCAATGTGGGGATTACATTTCCGAATCGTTTCAACATGCCTTCGGCATAACTTAAATGTATTGAGATTTATTTAATATATACAAATTAGTTAAATGCATTGGGGAACAATAGATGATAATCTAATTGTCTTTACAATGATATTTATCATAACGCGTTTTGTTCCATCTTTATATGGTGTTACATGATGACTAAGTTGGTGTTCAGATTCCTGTCAAGTTTCGCGTTAAAAAATGTTGGCGAATCCAAAATGTATTAATTAAAATCCGCGTAGGGATTGGGCGAGCTTAACCTATTATGTTATCATCAAATGAGAATGACTTTACGGGATTTCAAATTATGGTAGATCTGATTTAAGGAATTGCGGTCAATGAACTTCTAAAATCATTATGTAAAATGTCAATCTTTCAAATGATAACGAAAATTTTTTCAAAAATACAAATTGGAAAGGTTAAAAAAAATTTATTTTAAGATGAATCAAATGAATCCTCGATAGAAAGTTGGATAGACATAAAGAAGATGAACTGTAACATAAATTACTTTCAATATAAGGTTTAATTTCAAATTTCAATAAATGTCATTTAATTCATTTAATTCGTGTATATTATAAGATCAGTTTTAAAGTACTTTATCTAATATTGATGATCAATTTGAATGCCAAACCTGTCATTTACAATCAGCTGATCGATCGATAAAGCTGATGGTTTATTATGTAATCTTGCCTTATTGAAGCAAAAGGGTCTTAAACATAGCATTAAAAATGCATTGTATTTTAAAGGAATAACAAAATTATACGTTGAAATGCTGTAGCGCGTCCTTATTTTTTAATCTTAAAATAAACTTTCCGAAGCTATTAGGCGTAAATTTTATGCACTATTATTACAGGGTCCCAAAGCTTGCATTTCATGTGTATTTTTGCATGTTCCTTGAGACTATAAGAAAGGTTTAGAATGCCAAACTTGACTTAGTCAAATTATAGGGTTTTCGTTCTCACGCGATTTTACCGCTTGAAAGATTATGTTTTACATTACATTACTTGCGATTGCCATATGATGTCATCTGGTATTTGACATAATGTTTACTAACTATTTTTAGAAATTTCTGAAGTGGAGAATAATTTCCGTAACAAAATGTATATTATTCATTGCATAATATTGCGTTTTAAAAAACTTGCATGAACTTTATTTAGTAAGTGCAATTCCTTAAAGTATTATTCTTAAAAATTAAAGCGAAAATAAATAAAAATACAAAAAAAAAAAGAAAGAAAGAAAGAAAAAAAAAAGGAAACAGCGTAGTGCTACCTATACCTAGCAAATAATCGGCTTTTAAAAAGACTTTATGCATTTATATTGTTTAAAGTCAACGAAAGGGGCTTTTTTTCTTAGGTGGATTTATTAAAAAAAAAAAAAATCTGGGCTTTCCAATAATAGAAATGCATTGCCTTTAATAGAAAAATATGATTAATAATAATAAATTTTACATGTTATAATAAATGAAACTGATATTATATGTTAAACTGATACAAAAGTTTAAAGGTAAACAACAAATCTATAATTAAACAAATCCTTATCATTGACGGTTAGAATCCTCTTTTTACTCAAATGAAGAATTTTTTAATCGGTATTTCGTTACAAATGCGAAATTTCCATATATTTCTCAAGATTTTATTGTAAACCATTAACATCAGAAACTATTTTCTAATTCAACCACATATTTTGCCGTCGCCTGAAAATATTTATTGAAACATCTCTATTTTTTCCACCTTTGAAATTCTAATTTTGAAAAGTATGTCATCTTACGTTTTCGCTCGTAGTCAATATGTTCTCTACGATATTGGAATACGCATTTGTATATTTGGTCAAAATTCATTTTGCGAAAATGTGTGATCTCAAGATTGAAAGTTGATCTAACCAAAATTGATTGAAGATTTAAAATGGGAATTTGTCACACATCATTCTATTTTAATAAAGATCTGATTTGAAAAGAATCTTTCGGTCTTAAATATTGTTCGGCATTTTTAGAAAAAGTTTTTTTTAATGGGAAAGAAATATTGATTTAAAACATAAAATAATAATAGTACAAATTTAACAATATCATTACTCGTTAAGGATGAAAAAAGTTACGTATTAATGAAACATTTCTGATCTTTCACTTCGATGAATGTTCCCAAAATCACGGTCAAAGCTCGGGATGCATATGTGAGCGGTATTATTTATGTCTTTATTTTCCTTAATTGGCCTACTATGAAATGGTAATTGTTGATGTCAATGCAACCATCAATATAAAGTTAGCCAGATTATTGTATAATTTCTATAAAAAGAAAAATTTTTTTTCCACCTTCTTTACGTTCTTTCGAATACCAAAAAAGAAAGAAATCAAATTAGAACAAAAAGAAAAAATAAACAAAAATAAATTCTCCCAATCAAGCCTGCATATTTCAGGTCCATGAGTTCCGACATTTTAGTTAAACAAATAGGAGTCATAAAGAAAATCCTACCCATATGCAATGAACTTTAAACAACTCATTCAGATATGCTCAATTTAGGTTAAGATTCTAATCCTTGCGCATGACGAATTAAATTATGTCAATACGTACGCGCCACATTTAATCATTGGAAATGTGATTTAAATGGTAACTCGTCAATGATATCAGGAAAAAAAACAATTAAAAATTTTTTTGTATTATTCTGTTACAAAATGACGGGAAATGCATTAAATAAGGAAAGTCTCTCAAATTTACACGAATAAGAAATCCGAAAGAAGGAAAAGCTTTTCCGTTAGTAGAAGAATTCCATTTGAAACGCCATATGGAATTTATTGGTTACCAATAATATATTGGACTTTTTTACACGCGATTCTTGTTTATATTATGACAAATCAAAAATTATATTTAATGTAAGTTTTACAATCATAAAATCATAATAAACTGAATTCAACCGCATCCATTGGTTTTCTTTTTCCTCATGACATTGACTCATTGTCTTTTGTTATCAAGATAAAATAAAATAAAATATAATATAATATTTGCCTTTTTAGTACGTTCAAAATGAAGAGGGATTACAGAGAATTAAAGTTTATCCCGGAGAATCAAAACCTTGAAATATCTTTCAATGTTTTCTAGAAGGTTATCGCCTTGTTTTCCATTTATCTTCGGGACAATAACACATAATTACAAGCATATTACACCGAAAGTAGATTTAAAAAAAAAAAATTTATTATAAATAACGTCGAAATTTCGACTAAATTATCGATATCCACCCCAAAAATTAATCATTGTTACTTGATGTCTGTAATGATGAATTCAATTTTGAAAAAAAGAAGTGAAGTTCGTTTCTATCCTTATTCGTGTTTTTCGAATGGACCAGTGATAAAGAAAAAAGAAAATCCGTTTTTATTATTTAGGAAATCGTTGGGAAAACACGCAGAGGAAAAAATCCAAATGAGAAAACTCAGTGGGACTGCTTCGAAAATTTGGAAAAAATTGCCGGAGAAAATACATGATTATTATAGAAAACAATATGAAATCAATAGAGATTTTCAATCAAATGTATCATCTGGTTTGATTACGGACTATCCTACATCGGATGATATTACAGCAATTGTTTCAAATGAAAATGATGTTAGCAATGATTTGGATTTTACCATTTTCCCTTGCGAAAATCGAAAAAATTGTCCTATTTGTTTAAAGTACTTTCCTGCAGAGCAGATGATATACCAACAATTCGCTATTCCAGAAAATTTATCTGAAATAAATCCGGTACCTTCTTATACTACGGATAATAATTATTATATGAGCTTTTCTGAAGATAATGTGATAAATCAACAACAATTTTTACATTACTTTGATTGTTCTGGAGAAAATTGCATTAATTGTTTAGCGAGAAATCTTTATCAACAACAATTTCCATCACCTAATTATGAAATTATTCCTTTAGAAAATACGGAAAATCTTGATAGCGACCTTTCTAACTACATAGATTTTTCTTTTTGTGATACAAGTAATTAATAATTCGTATGATTTTTTTTATATTAATGTAATTTTCTAAATATTTATAATTTTTAATTTTTAATTGTCTAAAATTGGCATTCTGAATTATTTTTCGTCGTTCGTTAATCGATTTCGTTTTTTCGTTCGTAAATTTTTTTCCTCGTTTGTAAATTTCGTTTTTATCGTTTTTTTTTCGCTTATAACAAATTTTTTTAATTTTTACTTTTTATGGGAATTATGGGAATTATGCTTTCTAAGAAATATGTTAAGTTAAAATCTATTCAAGTTCACATCTTAAGATTATAATTTATTATAGCTTATTCTTTTGAAATTAAATTATTAATAAACGAATTAAAGATTCATGAGATCTAAGACTGATTTTGATTAATTTTTGCTAATCAGTACCTTTGTATTCAAAAAAAATTTTTTGGATAGGCTCGGATAAATTTCGATTTGTTTGTTAACACGCATCACATCATTTACCCGGTAAAAGAAGGAATATATACGAAAATGATCGACACACACTTGCTATCATTGTCGCACCCATTTAGTCAAGGTCCGCCGTATATAAAAAAATAAAATATCTTATCCATAAATGGTCGAGGTCCTTTTACGTATTAAGAGAAAATTTCATTACATACGCTGCACATATAGCGCCCAAATGTCTTTTTTTATTCGTCAATAAGAAAACTTATTATTCTTTTATACTTAAAAACTCAATCCCTCCTGTCAATTTTAGTGGATTTTACTAAAAAGGCAAGCATGTTTTTAAAATTCTTTGCAATATTAAAGATTAAGCTTTTTTTTTTAGAATAAATTCAACTTTGTAATTAACAAATTAAAAGCTTGTCACTTAAATTTGATAAATCTTAAAAAATATTAATAAAACCACATTTAAATTAAAATCTTTAAATATTTTAATAGAAATTAAGAGTTTTTGTTTATATTTTTTTTATTTGCTCTTTATTTTTTCTTTTGCTTGGATTTTATAATTCTATATCTCTTTTTTTACTTTTGTTAAATCAATAATGTGTAATTTTAGATATTAGTAATATAAACAATAAAAATATTTTCTATATTTTTTGATTGAAATTGTAAACATTATAATTAGTATTATTGCGTTATATTTTTTAAATGTAAGGTTTTCCTTTTAGATAATTATTTTTAAATTAATAAAAAAAATTGCTCACAAAACTAAATTAAAAACATAAAAATATTTGATTCTTATAAATTATTAAAATAAAAAAATAATGATATTAATTTTTGAAATAATACTTTTAAAGAAAATCTTTAAATTTAAAAATAAAATTTGCTAAATAATAGTAATGACTATTTACCAATTAATGCTTCATTTATGTTTTCATTAAATACTTATTTTAACTATATATTAATTAAATAAGCATTTAATATTTAATTATATATTTTTATTTATAATAAAATATATTTTATAATTAATCTTGTAGTTATTTTAACCAATTGTTATCTATCTAAATTTTATTATGATTAAATATTAGTATAAATAATATTAAATAAACCATCATTCTATTTATAATAAATGATATGATCATATAATATTTTCATTTATACTAGCTATTATATAATTATTTTCATATTATCTAAATAATATAAGATATTCTTACTATTTTATAATTTGATTCTCAATATTTTTATCTAATAACTTTTGAAAATATTTTTATAATATAATTAAATAATCTTATTTAAATAATAAAGATTAGCTAAATTATTATTATTATTTTTTACTTTTAATTTTCAATTTAATTAAGCTTATTATGTATAAAATGATAGTAAAAACACCCTAACAGATAGTATAAATCAAGGGTAGCCTTCTTCAGAATTTTTATATAAAATAATGGAAGAAGGCTACCCCTATCTGAAGAATAATTAACATATATCGAATAAATCTTGAGTTTTTTTTGTAAGTTGTGCATTATATGCTAAACTAGGGTCAAGAGATGTTTCGCTATCTTTCTCTAATAACAATTTATCGGGAGTGAGTTTACTATAAGCATACCGGATATCTTCTCCATTATTCCAATATACTTTTTCCCCAGTCTGATATGAAGGTAACTTAGGAGCATCCTCGCTATCAAATGAGCCAACCAGGTGATATTGCGTACGCT